CCCCCCCCCCTTCCCCCGCTCCTCCTTCCTCCCACATACACACATACAATTTATTTGTAGAAAATGAACAGACAAGTAACATACGCCAAGAGGAATTATGTACTCAGAGTGCCAATGCGTTTTGTTCCTTGCTGAAACACATTTACATGTTAGGCAGAGCGCTTTGACAATGGATGTAATGAGAAGTGGAAGAAACTGGTCGGAGAATTTCCTTTTTTTTCACATTTTACCAAATCGAGCTTATTTTGTGATACTACTTAAATACTTGAGCAGCAGCTCTGTGTGTCATTACGTCCATTCTCATGCCGTCAATGCAGCTGGTAATTTCTCCATTCATCTCATATTGTTGCGCTCTCCGTGCCCAACCATGGTACCGTACAAGCGTACCATAGATGGGCTTAAGTGATCACATAACAACCAAAAAAACTCAGTGTGTGTATGTGTGTGTATGATAGAGCAATGCTTTGTAGGTTCATGGACGTTGCGAATGCACTCACAACACCAAAGGAATGAACTGTGAGCAGTGCATGGATTTCTTCAACGATCTGCCATGGCGCCCGGCGATCGGTGATGATTCCAATGAATGCAAACGATGCGAATGCAATGGTCATGCGGCCAGATGCCATTTCGATCGTGCTGTATACCAAGCCTCTGGTGCACTTTTTTTTGTAGCTCTTCACTGCTCAGGCCTTTTTTTATAAGCTTTAGTTATTGAAACTCATCGCAATAAAAGCTTATCTGATTCAAAAAGAAGTTAGGTGCAAAAATAACTTCAAAAAGAAAAATAAATCCACCTTCAAAATACTGATTCAAAATAAATTCAGAAAAAAAGAAATAAAATAACCTCAAATAAAATGATTTTACTCATTTTATTCAAAAAAAAGTAAAAAATAACTTTATAAATTCAAAAATAAGTAAATTTCTACACATCCACATTGGCGCATATGTGATTGTTTTGCAGTACAGCATTGCTGATTTCTCACTTATACCATTTTTTTGACATCCATTTTCCCACACTCGTTCTTCATTTCCAAATCACCATTATACCTTTGGCATGTTTCGGAAATAAAAAAAAAATCCATTTCAGGTTTTGTGTCGGGCGGCGTCTGCGATGAATGCATGCACAACACACAGGGCAAAAATTGTGAGCAGTGCAAGCCGTATTTTTATCGTAATCCAGACCGACCAATTACCGACCCCTATGTTTGTTTGCCCTGCGAATGCGACAAGGTGAAGTTTCATTTCGTTTAATCTTTAGTTTGGCAGTAATTGCAATATTTTTTATTTTTTGATTACTTTAAAAATGAAGTATATGATGAGCTGATCATGGCAATTTAATCGCTATGCGTGTGTGTGAGAGTACAAGTATGTGTGTGTGTGTGTGTGTGTGTGTGTGTGTAGCTCCGAATTAAAAAGCTATGGAAAGGCCACCAGTTGCATCGCTGACATGAAAATGTGCCATGACCGACCAAAATAATGTATTTAAAGAGATGAGAATTTTGACGAATGTTTGCCGCTACCATCATGGGCAGCTTTTTGCTTTTGATAAATGCCTGAACTGCTTAGTAAATGGCCAATAAATGATACTTTTTATTGTAGAATGGTTCTTTGAACGACGGGATATGTGAAGGGGAGGAGGACGCGGAACGAGGCCTTGTGGCTGGCAAGTGCTATTGCAAGCCGAACGTAGACGGATCACGGTAGGTATTTTCGACAAATTCTTCTTGCTGCTCAAACGGCAGATAATGATTGCTCGCGGGGGGCACGTGTTGTGCAATGAACTGAATCAAAAATGATTTGTTTCAGGTGTGATCGTTGTAAAAATGGATTTTGGATGCTTTCGGCTGACGATCCAAATGGCTGTCGTCCGTGCACATGTCATCTGTTGGGCACGTTCAATAACGAGGGCTGCAACAAACGAACCGGCGAATGCCTCTGCAAGCGATTGGTCACCGGCGATGCTTGCGACAAATGTTTGGTAATTTTGCTTGGATCATTTAGCATCAGATTTGCTTGAGTAGCGAGTGGGAATAGAACGCTAATGAATCCCGCTTCATCTTTCCCTTTTTTATATAGCATCGCGGTGAACCACAGATATTTCTTCTGTCTCCGCATCAACGCACATGGCATCAGTAATTAATACCGCGGTAGTTTTGTTAGCTCCTAGTGCTTCTGAATATTCATCTCGATACATTTGTGCGCTGACGCACATTGGGTGTTTTTGTTCTCGTTGCATTTGTTGTTTTTAACATTAGTTTTTCTACTCTCATCCTTTTTACACTCAGTGGAATACTTGGAACTTGAGAAAGTTATATTTCCTAGCCAGATTTTCTAGCAGTGCAAATGGCAGTTGCGCATCTCTTGACAGCCAGCCCACTGGTGATTCTGTTGTTCATTTCATCTCCTGAAGGTATTACCAGCTCAGCAGTTCTCGAGACTGAAATACCCAGCAAGGCTTTGGCTGTTTCAAAAAGTCATTGGTACGTGAGAACGATCAGCACCTCGTCCCGTCGCCGCTTTATCGTGCTATCACTTATTGCTACATTCTTTTTTTTTTTTGAAAATCAGGCATCTTAAGCTGAAGCATGGAGTGAAGCGTTGGGTAAGAATTTCCTTGTCTGAGAGTTGATTAACTATATGGAAACTTTGTGAGCGAAATGTTTTTAGCCCGAGCATTATGGATTAAGCGAAGATCCGGAAGGATGTCGGCCGTGTGACTGTGATCTTGGCGGCTCTGTTGATAATGACTGTGATGTTATCACCGGGCAGTGTAAGTGCAGAAAGAACTTCAGTGGACGACGATGTGACACTGCCGAAAGTGCATATTACTGCCCACATATTGATCATTATACGTTGGAAGCCGAAGAGGCAGAAATTACGGATGTTAGCATTTTTGGTCGTTCGATGATCTTTGCATCGTGTACTTACGCTTTCAGCTGCAGATAACTGGCTTGATGAAATATTAAAGCTTTTTTTTTGCCTTCTAAATCAAAAACAATTTGGAGAAGGGCGGTTTTTTAGCTCCTAGTAAATGGCCTACTCAATTAGAAGCAGCATTCCTATTGTCTGTTTCAGGGGCAGATCGAATCCAGAGAGCTTCCAGCTGCAGAGCGAGAACGCACGTGGACAGGCGATGGTTTTGTTAGGGCCGGCGAGCACACTCAGTTCGTGTTTAGAGTTGAAAATTTGGCACAAAGTATGCATTACAGCATTGTCATACGATATGAACCACCACCGGTAAGAATTTTAATTAGCAAAAAGCTCGTTTTCCGCTGCACTTTACATCCGTTATAATTGCCTCATAAATGCGCTTATTTTTCAGGATGGCATCGGTTGGGAGAATGTACAACTTACAATTGTGCGTCCCTCAGATCCATCACCGGATGGAGTGTGCAAAAATCTTTCGCCTTCCGATGATTTTTTGATTGCGCGTCTTCACCCAGGCGCACGTTATGTCGAGGTCAGTGATGTCGTGTGAAATTTCATTACGAAAAATTAAAATTCATTTGGCAAGAGCTTGTTGCTGGTCTTGTTGAAAACTGAATGGCATCGCATATGAGATTTGATATTGCACGCAAAAAAGAAATGGGCGGTTGGGCAGCCCCAAAGGCGGGGGAAGCGGGGGAAGGAGGTAGAGGGCGGGGGGGGGGGGGGG